CACTATAGGGAACTAAAGTAAAAATTTATCTAGTTTACTAGTCTTTTAGCAAATTAATAATCTAAACCGGATAAAAACAACAAATCAATTTAATCACAAAATAATCACGAAATTACATATACCATAGTAAAAAGTAACTAATTAATATTTTTTTAAACAACTAATAATAATTTCTCTATTTTACAAAAAAATTTAGCACACTAATACTATAGTCCGGATAAAAAATAACAAATTTGTTAAATCGCAAAACAATCACAAAATAACATAGAGCGCATAAAAAATAACTAATATGCATTTTTATATACATTTTAACAAAAACTAAGTCGAAATACCTCAATTTAAGATTTTTAGAAAGTCGAAGATTTTGTGATTTTGAGCCGAAACAAGCAACAACGTCCGAGATAACACCTTAGCTAGCACGTGGGACCGAGAATCTTTACTTTTTGTGGGACGAGTAGGCNTGTTCTGTTTTGGGGAAGAGGAAGACATCTCTTTATTATATATATAGCGTCTTTTGTTAAGACGCTATATATATATATATAACATCTTAACAAAAGACGCTATATTTTCCCGCTTAAATTAATTCAAGTATAGCGTTCTTTGAAAAAACGCTATACTTAACTGGCCAAGCGGCTGTTAAAGTATAGCGTGGTTTCAAAAAACGCTATACATATTTTGGTCACTAAATTTTTTTTCATATATTTTTGTTCTTTGAGTCCAAAAGAACCATATTTTGGTTCCGGACTCATTTACATTAGGTGGTCCATTTCTTGGTTGTCCTTGAAGTTCAGACCAGAAAATAGAAATCGAAAAATTAATGCAGCTGCACTTGCCTAGTGCATACAACTACTAATTATCACATGACAATTTAATTATACAAAAATTAACAAGGAAAAAATTTGCAGATGAAAGGGCATTGTATTTTCATAATCTTGTCATAACTAGAAAGAGTGCTCGAATCTTTATGCATGATCCTCAAGCTAAAGAATAAATATCTATCTCTCCCTTTCCTGCAAATTAGTCGGAAAGTAAACGATGGAAAAAATTCTGATAGGAACAGCTTTTCCTTTAATAGGCTTTAGTGACACGAATTCGTAAAAATAGCACGGGCTAGCCAGTTTTCGGACTGGTCATTTAAAAATAGCCAGCGTTTATAAAGTTATTGAAAAATAACCACTATTTTGCTGTAACACGGAAAGTTTCAGCATAATATACTGGAGATCGATGCACCTGTGTATGAACTTACAGCATATTATGCTGGAACTTCAACACGCGAAAAGTTCCAGCATAATATACTGGAGATTGGAGTACCTGTGTATGAACTTCCAGCATATTATGCTGGACCGGTATATTATACTGGAGTTCCAGTATATTATGCTGGAGTATTTTCCGGATTTTGAACAGTGTTTTTGTTCAGATTTATCTTTACATGAAAAGTGGCTAAATTTCGATTACTTCTAAAATTATGGCTATTTTTGAATGACCACTTGTAAATTTGGCTATTTTTGAATTTCTCCCAACGAATTAGTGTTGAGGCCCAATGCGGATACCACGGGTAGAAAAAAAAAATAAACGATGCATAGGCTTTCTTTCAAGAATGTCCACAAATAGTTTCTCAGATGAACATGTAGCTCATTTTATTGGAACCCGTCAAACTAGTTATTTACTTTTCAATATTTGATTAAGAAAGCCAAAACACTCAGATAACATTATTTTGAAGAAGACTCTCCGAGTAATTCGTGTGATAGTGGAGCAGTAGTATTTTAATTTGCACAATTGCAACAATTTTAGTGACAGTTTCATGTGCTTGGTTGTTTGACCAAAAAGGAACTGAAGGAAGTATTATGAGCTTTGTGGGCAATGTGGGATAAGTACAAATGTTATTTTATTTATATGATCCTTTTCCTAGAAGATGAAAGATCACCGCGATCTTCAGACTTAACTTTCGTAGTGTAATTCACTCGGTCCTTTCCCCACTTTATTTATATAACGAAAATTTTAAAAAATTTATAGAAAAATATAGAAATAAAATACTAAGAGGAGCAGCTATGATTTACGAGTCTTTGTGCGAGCCGTATGCAATAGGAGTCGTGCATAACAAGAATGAAACAATCAACCCATTAATATTAGAAGATCCAATGGATTCTTCCAATGTATCATTTTTGGGTCTAATGAAATTCATAGGTATAGGAAGAAGGCCTATTAAATAGAGATTTTTTTTTTATTTTGACCATATTTTGATTGTTAATACAATATATAAGCGGGGCGGATTTAGGGGGTGGAAGGGGTTCACCCGAACCCCCTTCGCCGAAAAATTACATTGTATATATAAGGCAAAATCTATTTTTTACCTCTATATATTATGTTTTGAAACCCCTTAATACAATTAAAGGCATAGCTTATTGGTTAAGGTGGCTCAAAATCTTTGTGAGGTCATTGGTTCAATTCTCACTAGTTATAATTTTTTTAATTTTTTAACTTTTTTTAAATCCCTTAGCAGAAATTCTGCCTCCGCCTGCCACGGTATGTAAGGAACCTTGTGAANTATATAATTTTTTGGGAAATAGCTTGAAGGAACCTAATACTTCCTCCGTTTTAATTTATGTGAATTTATTTTTTTTTTAGTCCGTGTCAAAAAGAATGACATATTTTCTTATTTGAAAATAATTTATTTTTATATAATGATTTATAGCCACACAAATATATGTGTCTCATTTTACATCATAAATTTAAAAGTCTTCTCTCTTTCCTTAAACTCCGTGTCAAATGAATTCATATAAATTAAAACAAGGATTAATAGGTAGACAAGAAGCAAGAAGCACGAGGATCATTAAAGTCGCTATTGCAAGTTGGCGTTGCAACTTGCATATTGAAACCGTTCTAGACTCTTTATTTTTCTCCAACTTACATATTATTCAGAGGCAAAAAGACAATAAAAGAGTTGAGGTGAGAACAGCAAAGCCGGTGCAACTTGCACAATCACTGTCCCTTTACTTTTTCAATTTAATGACTAAACAATTCCCATATGATAAATTTAAAAATTTGCAACTTGTTGTTTCTTTATTGAATATATATCTATCAGCTAATTGGTCTCTTCTTTTTTAGAAAAAGTCGCCTTCTCCAACTTGCAGAGTATCTTGTTTGATTCTCGTAATGTTATCTTTTATTTTTTATTTTTTTATTGTTTATTGTTTATATAATATGAACATGTTCCAACAACCTTAGGCAACTTGCATCCCAGCTTATGCCTCTAATAATGGAAATTTTCTAGCTAGGTTGCACATTTATTTCTCTTTTTTTATGTTTTATTTTTTTGGGGTCAAATTTATAAACCTAAGTTTCTTCTGTTACTATCACTTAATGTACCACATAGACATGCTTCTTAAGAAAATATATATGATTTTGAGAAAATATCGATATGATTGATGCAACAAATTTGCTTACTGCAAAAGTGAAAAAATTGTTATATATTATATGTTGAATTTTTTTTGGCTTTTACGTATATTTTTTTCTTCATATTTTGATCCTTGTTAATAAAAATTCTAACTTTACCACTGATCAGGAGCGTAAGTATATTAAATTTCAAACAACAAATATGAAGAAACTGCTATCGTGCGTGTCATTTATAAGCACTCTACTTCTATTTGCTGGAATCCTTAATCCACATTAAACTAGCTTTGACCATAGATTTTCAAATTTATTTTAAAAAATTTGATGTAGGTGAAGTTTGATTTGAAGATGAAAATGTGTTTGGATCTGTTTTGAGTGAAGTTTGGTTTGGAAAAATATGAAACATGACTTATACCCACAAGTTCTAAAAATTATCACAAATATCCAACAGTACCATTATCAATAACATTCATTATATTATCACAAACCATAGTCCTGAACATAAATAAATTTGATTTTATAATGAACTACATGATACACTATCAGATGACCGAGAAGACGCAGCAACATCGTTACAAAATAATAAATGGTGGGCTCTTTTATAAAATATAAAAATTTGGGACAATTTTTTAAAAAATACAATAGTGATATTTTGGCCCAAAAGCTGGTTTTGGGATTTGGCCAAAATGTAGGCAAAATATATGGCAAAACATGTGTTTGCCAAATAAAATCCAAGTTTATTTTATCAAAATCTATGGCCAAACGGATCCTAAATTAATGAATTATATTTACTAGTAACTTATTTATATCAAAATTAATGAAAAGGGTACGTGCATCGTACTTAATTTCACCGTCTTAATATGGGAACCTGTGGTTTATTTAATTTAATTACAGCTTTTAGCAACCAATAGAATCGACCATTGGCTGTATTCAAGAGTCGGCTGAATTAACTCACCTTCCTACTGCGCTCAAGCTATATATATTTAATGCATTTATTCTAAAAACAAATCATCCAAATATCAAACGACCTAATTAACCTCGTCTTAATTCATTCTCCTAATCACAAGTTCACTACTAGTATTTGATATAGTTAATATTTGAAGAGTTAATAGTATTACTTCTAATATTCATTTCTTGTTCTTAATGACCGGCTCCTATAGGAAATGACATGTTGAAATCAAAAGACAGTAATGGTACTTTTAGTATGCTGTATAGATACATATTTAGATTATGTATTAAAAAAAAAGTAATTTTCCTGTCGTAAACTTGGTATAATACCGTGCTCTATTTCTAGGTAAAATTTAGCTAATTATAAGGGCGGCTGTATATTGAACAAAATCCTTTTATTTGTGAAGGCATCATTGGACCAACGAGAAAGTTGTCTCCGTATGATCTATAGGTCACGAGTTCAAGTCGTAAAATTAACCACTGATACTTGCAGAGCATAATGCGTTCATTTCTCTCGAATCCTGCATGAATACGAGATACTTCGTACCCCTGACATCGAATATATGACTCGAAATTAATTCAGCAAATAAACACTCGAAAGAAGATCCATACGTTTCCAATAAAGAATAAACTACATTAAGATAAAATAATGAACACCAGTATTTGAGAAAATTTTGCCCTCTGAATCCTTTTTATTTTGCACAAATACACAGACAAAGTTAAAACATAGAGCAATGAGGCAAAAAAAAAAGAACCAAGTACTTAATATAAAGAGAATGAAATTAATTCCGTAACACAAGATTTAACCAAGAACTTATCTTCAACAAGTGATGACAACCAGGAGATTATAATACGCACATGATCTGAAAAGGTGCAACGATTTTCAGACCATTGCAACCCCCAAAAAAATCATCGCTTAAAAGATCATCATCAGAAGCATCATCGATCAGTTATCGATCAGTTTTGTAAATATATTCTATATTTCAAGAATCTTTTCTTCTGTTCAAGTTAACTGCGATCTGCGATAACGATGTGAGGTTGCATTTGACGATGGTATCAACGAAAACACACGTTTCATCTCTAGTATTACCAGGTGGTATATCAACAACGAACGATTCAACGACGATGGTCGTCCCGTCACCAGACGGTTCCGAGTGGAGCGTGGTGACGGAACGGTAATTCGCGAGTCGGTGGTCTCCACCGACTACGCTAAAGCTGATGACATGGCGCTCGTCGTCGAGGATCTCGAGCCTTTCCGTGCTGGACGCAGCTGGAAGGCCCGAGATCACGCGAACCTCGCGGAGAGTGCCGACATCACCGTCCCCTACGATGACGTGGCAGCTCTTGACGAAGTGCTTGTATGCTTGCGGATTGTCGAAGCGGCGGACCACTGACCATACGGTGGAGACGGGGGCGGAAATCCGCTGGATCAAGGCGGAGCAGCACTGGTCGGGACCCACTGGATGAGTATGGAATCGGACAACGGAATCTGGGACTTGTGTCGTACAAGGTATCGGCATAGTACGCCTTGGTAATTGCTGGGATTGTTTACAGGCAAAATCAGGAGTAGTGTTGGAGCTTACTCTTTGGAGTAAAACAGATGAATCTGGAGAACTAGGAGGCATTTTTTTGGCTAAGTGTTATTAGATTTTGATCTGAAAGAAGAGCTGATTCTTTTGCTGTAAACTGTAAGCTAAGGGTGGTAGGCTAATGGGGCTCTTCTGTTATGGCTAGAAGTGTCTCAGTTTTTCATTTATATAAACATACAGTAGACAGCTAATTATCTAAGAGAGAGAAGGAAGAGAGTTGGTTGAAGTTGCAAAAGTAAGAGGAAGAGGATGGGTTCACGTGAGGTTGACAAAAATAGTGGGACTAGTGGGTAAATGAAAAATGGATCAAGTTGGTGCATAAAAAAGAGGGCTTAAAGGGCTACAGAGATAAGATATGCACCCCTCTTGTCCGCCCCTCTTCCCAATAATCAGTCCTCCTGCGGCCAGGTTCATTTATTTTGTTTTCGCGAATTAGTATATGGGCTAATTAAATTCGAATTTGCATCGAAAAGTTCTATAACGGAGAAAGCGGTCCCCTGATAAATGTGATTTTATAGTTGGGGTTCAGATTCGAAATCTTTAGTTAAATATGCAACAAGTGTTTACCATTCCATCACATACGCCGGATTCTTTAAGTCACCACATAAGGACAATGACAAATGAAATCCGAAATCATTATACGAGTACTAGGTCAGATTGATTGTTTACGTTTTTAGTGAGCATACATAATTTAAGTATCGATTATACACGATTATATATATATATATATATATATTATAGGTGATGTGGGCGGAATAATTTAACCAGTTACTATTTAGTTTAATTCTTCCTTCAAATAAATGGGTTGAACATCACGTTGACCGTTGAAGTGATAAATTTGTTTGGTCATAAAAATAAAGTTTTGGGTTAAAATTGGTCAATTTAAACTAAACAATAGGTCATAATTTAAACCGTTCAATTCAAAATTATCTTTTATTTGAATGTTTATTCTGTATAATTTGTATAATTATCGAATCAGATTAACGGGACAGCCTGGTGCACTAAGCTTCCGCTATACGTAGGGTCCGAGAAATGGTCGAACCACAACGGTCTATTGTACACAGTCTTACCCTACATTTCTACAAGAGACTATTTCTACGGCTCGAACCCGAGATGTCCTGGTCATATGGAAGTAACTTTACCAGTTACGCCAAGGCTCCCCTTCAATTGCTGAATAAGACTAACACAAGTTTTTTCTTTATTTATCATGACTGCTTAACTAACTAAATTCAAAAAAAGTGTTATTTTTTAAATTTTTAATAAGTTTTTTTGAGTTAATTCGAGCTATATAAGTTATTCAAATAAATATATCTGACAATAAATATATGTCCAATAAAATTAACATTTCAAACCTGAAGGAGTTGAGCGAGTTATTTGTTGATAACTTCGACACCCATAAGGACAAATCAAAATCCTCATTACATACAAAAGTCAGACTCTTCTCTTTTACCGCAGAGAATTAGGGAACCAATCATTTCCTTTATTTTGTTTTTCATTTCGATATATTTCAATTCTTCATTGATTTCTCTAAAGCCAAATGCTGTTAGGCTACAGCCGACCCCTGACTTTATTAGTTTCCTCTTGCCCCACCATACACACTCTTTCCTTCTCTCTCTCTTAGGTAGACCACTTTCTGTTGTTTATCGTGAAAACTGCCACTGCCATTACCTTATGATATCCACTCATATTATATCTTTGTCTCAGGATATGCAATGGGGTTCCACTCTTCTCTAAGCTCAACCATTCATATATACTCTCCCCTTCAATTTATACCAACTTATTTCCTTTTTATTCCATATCAAAACAAAATCATCACTTTATTTATTCGAAAACAATTTAACTTTATACAATGATTTATAGCCACATAAAATATATATGCCTCATTTTACACTACAAGTTCAAAAGTCTTCTCTCTTTTCTTAAATTTTGTGTCCAGTCAAATGGGTTCACATAAATTGAAACGGAAGGAATACATAGTATATATACAGTGGCAGTTTCAGGATTTTGTGCAAGCGGGTTCAATCTTAGAAGTACATAACTTTAGTCGTAAAATAGTAGCTATCAAGTGGGTTCAAATAAAATATTTATACAAAATTAACGCAGCTTTAATCCTAATTTATACATATACACAGTATTATTTTTTGATGAAGCGAGTTTAGTTGAACCCGCTTGCCACCACATGCGTCCGCCATATATATATATATATGGGGCACCGAACCCTAATGCGCTAGCAATTGGTACATAAGGGAATGGATGTCCGGGTTTTAGTGCAGGCGCAACGTAGAATCATTGATAGCATTAGTTACGTTCGACTAATAGGATTGGTAGCATTAGATACATTCGACTAATATAATTGGCAGCGTTAATTATGTTCGACTAATAGGATAAGTCATGTGATTAACCTGGCATTTTATTGAGATGAACTTCTTCGAGCTTTTAGTTATAGTCGATGTTAAACGCACCTGAACTACTCATGGTCGTTTTATTTACGGGCTTGCACTCAATAGTCAATCAATTCATTTTTTTCTCTTTCTATCACACACTGATATATATATATATATATATATATATATATATATATATATATATTCGTTCGTCAAAATCAGAAGTTAAAATTTTGATGGATAGGGATCCCGTAAAAATTTCTTTCTGAGGAATGGGCTAGATTTGATCATTTCTCAAGAACAATAGTTAAAGAACCTAATACTACCACTTGGATCTGAAACCTACATGCTGATACTCACGATAACGATAGTTATATCAGTGATTCGTGCGCACGCCTATATATATATATATAAAATCAGTATATCTACTACGAATTGGTGACCTTCTTATGATATAAGACTGAGCTAACTGAAAACAAAATGGAGTAAGATTGAAAAATGGCGAGATATCTCTTCAAAATAGCAGAACTTCTGTCACTTGTGCAACTGTAAGCTTGCAATTGCATAGTTACCTTCTAAAGTATCACGTTAATATTTGGAGTAAATGAAGCCTCCTTCCTGCGGCTTTCACCTCGTTGACAACTTTGTTTCCCATATGAATAAGCTAGCAACTTGCCTATTGCCCCAGCTAACATACTTTGATTAATTTTTATGACCTTTTTCAAGTACATATTTCACCTTTTTTCCCCAACTTTAGTAAGTTCTTGCATAAATACTATTTTACTTCTTGTTTTTCCCTTTTTCCATGGTTAACTCAGTCTAATTCAATCATGTTATTATAATTTCATTTTGATATTATGTTAACTTCATCAATTGGGGATCGAAAAAAAAAATCTTCATAAATGATTTGGTGAAATCACGAAATCCCCCTAAAAAAGGGAATGGAACCGTTTCTGCTCTGAGCCTAACAATTTATGGAGAGACATTTCCGTGGGAATCAAAAAAGAAAATTATAAACTGAAAAGTGAGGAAATTAAAATACTTAAAGGAAATTTCCAAAACAAACTATGAAAATAATTGTAGTTGACATATACGCGGGATGTGATTATACAATTCTAGGTGCCATTTGAAATGAGTTTTTAACACATTTGACCGGTCGACTGAAAATAATTATAGTTGCTAGTCAAATATATAAATATATACTGATTATGTATAAAATATGTATATTTTATATATTAGTATTTAATATTTAAAAAAATATATTTATCGGCTATTATTTTAGTGACCGGCAATACCGTGTAGATTTCCCATTTGAAATTGTATTTGGTTTTTGATTTAGGGTTTTCAAAAATTGATTTCTCCCTCGGAAATATGTTCGAAAAGATTTTTGGAACATATTTTCGTGTTTTGATTACGTTTTCTATTGCGTTTAGATCAGTTTGTTTATGAGAAGATGGTTTAATTAGTATTATTTGAAATTCAAACAATAATTTTGAAAACTTCAGCTCGAGGTGGTTTATGTTCTTGAAACAAATAATTTGATTTTAAACATGTTTGTGTTTGAATTTGGTTTTTGCAAAAAAATTGTTTTAGAAATAATTTTTAAAAAAAAGGAAGAAGAAGAAGAAGCTTCCTTTGAAGTTTGAATTGGGCAAAGCTTACTTTGCACATTAAATAAAGTATGCTAAGAGAAGATGGAGATTGGGAAATGACATATATTGAGCTCCTAGGTGATGTTTTGGACACCACACAACAAACTCGAGTTGGAAACCAAAATATTATTTTTTTGGACTCAAATCACAAAAATAAGTGAAAAAATCAACTAGTGATCAATTTATATATAACACATGTGTTGTATGTGCTATATTTGAATTTTAAAATGGCAGTCAATATATATATATATATATATATATATATATATATATATATATATATATATAT